TCAGATAAAGAAACTTGGATCCGTCTCGATGAGCAGAGATCAAAGATGCTAGCCCTCTCTTGGTACACTAATTAGTTCTACTATAAACACTGTGTATGAAAAACGCCCACTTCTCTATTTTTGAAGCATTCTTTGCGGTCACTCCGTAGCGAATTCCGTTGGGGAGGGGGAGACGAGTGCAACGGCCTTTTGCTCAAGGTCAGAGTTCACAATCGCATTCCACACCGTGTGTAAAATCAGCAAATTTAATAATATTAAATTCCCTAATTAATAGAACGACTTGAGCTTGGTCTTAAAATGCTCCTGGAAAGCTTACACATCCGATGGTAAAAGTTACTTGAAGATCCAATGAGCGGCGGCTCATATAGAACGGTGGAAAGTTGTAGCTTGCGTAATTACAATACTTTTGCCATTTCAGAGTTTTGAACAATCTGAAAATTCATAAATCATTTTCTATCAATCTCTCTATCACAAATCTGGTATCTTTGTAATCCTTAGATCTTCCTCTTAACGATAATGCGAAATTTGTATGCTTTAGCACAATATTCCGCAAGATGAGCAGGCAAGAAGCGGAGCGATAAAAAACGCGTGCGTCTCCTCAGAAGGTTGAGGGGTCTCTTTAAACGTGTTACAAGAATTTTTAATATCTAGCTTAAGCTGATCTTGAAATCAAGCTCACGTCACAGCAGGAGCGGCTGCACTGAGCGCCAGAATTAAAGGCTGGAAAATGTTTAGATTTTAGGAAAACACTGAGCAATAAATTTAGGGATAAAAAAAAAATAATTTAGTTAATACATAAGGCAGAGACATTTAGAAGCGGAAATGTTTTAAAATTTAGTAATGCACGGGACACACAAATTTAAAAACTTCAGAAGTTACGCCGGTCAACAAAATGCCTAGCGCCAGCTAAACTTAATGACAGTGCTTATGGCTGTGTCAGAAATTATTCAGACTAAAAGAAACGTATTACTAGTGCCTTGTAAGTGTTACAGGAACTGAATTTTTGATAAGAAAATTGTAATCCATTGGATTTAAATGAAAAAAATGGAAATTTGAAGTTATCATTCATGTCAAAATGATACAGATAAATCTTTAATTAAAAAATATATATTTATAACAAAAACAAGATTCATTGTAAAGAAGTAGGAAAATGCAATTGGGACATTGATATGCTGTAAAATTTCCTCCAGTTTCATAGTATCGACCGAGCGGTAATACCGGTGACACTAGTAGTTTGACCTGGATTCAAATGAACGGGTGGGCTGCATGGTAGTTTCAATGGTTTCCGCTTGTGTAACGTAAACACGAGACATTTTCTCTTTAAAAAGTCTTTGAGTTACTTTCAGTCTTTTTAGAGTTATTCATGCTGGAGAACTGAAAAATATTTATTGCCCTTGCCGGGTTTCAAACGTTGGACCTCTCGAATATGCGAATGCTTCCAGTTACACCACGAAGGCATGAGGAAAGGAAGAGAAAATATACCGTATTAAAAATTAACTTAGTCTAACTATTATAGTGTCCAAACTGTGCTATATTATTCTGAGGAAAGCATCGAAGAAGTTTTTATTCGTAGGAAGGTTGAATTCTTCTAAATGAATTGTAAAAAATGTATTATAAATTTTTACAATTCATTTAGAAGTAATTTCTGTTTCTATTTGATGATGGAAGGAGTAGTCAAATTTTGGACTTTTCAAATGAAAGGAAGAGAAATAATTAAAAGCAATAAAACTTTTCTTTATCTGTGGAAATTTTGACAGTGTTCGAAGTGTTTTTCACATTTTTAATACTGACATCAGAAGCATCTCCATTGTGGCAAATGTTGTTCCGTTGTTATGCTTATTCCTCCCGTAGTAAAGTAAAATAAACTACTGAATTATCATGCCCTTTGGTTGTAACCGATTTTGGAATTACAGTTTTTTATTTTGCGCATTTGAAAATAAAATTATTCTAAAGAATTTTTTCCTTTTATGAAAATAAAAAATCCAGTGTTTACTGAGATCAATGTATTAAGGAAAAGAAATATGATTTATCTTTCATACACAGAAACAATGAACAAATTAGAACACACTTCAGGATGCCTGCAGTCACTGCACATATTCTCTAACAAACATCAAAGATGAATGTCTTGATTATATAATGGAATTTGCGGATTTGATTGCAAGATTAAAAGATTTTTGCAATCACTTTCTTCATTAGGGACTTCAAAGCGATATCTAATGATATGGGTGCGGAACTGCAATTAAAAAGCGCATAGTAGTGAGGAATCCATAAGCTTGAATAACACCCATAAGCTTGAATTATTTTGTCGGTGATGGTATTTAGAATTTCAAACTTGATGAAGTTCCTGATTTTTCAGAACTTCATAAAATGACTATTTTATTTATCCATGTTGTTTACATTTACAGAATAAAAGAAGGAAAAGAATAATATTACATTGTTCTTTAAATTGTTACGCATTATTCGTTAAATTAATTTTTGAAAGAATTTAAAGAATAACGTAAGTGTTTCCTGTCATACACAGGGGCGTAGCTAGAGTTTCCAGCGCCCGGGGTCAACTGAAGAATTTGCGCCCCTTTCTGTGTGCCAAGAATGGAAAACATTTTCTTAAAATATTTCGTAGCATTAATTTGGCGCCCCCTGGATGCTGCGCCCGGGGACAGATGTCCCCCCCTTGCCCCACCCTAGCTACGCCACTGGTCATACAGTATTAGAAAATCTTTCGAAAAAAAAAAGACGATTTCTTCTGCATTTTTCCTTTTCGATACTCTTTTAGTGTTTGTTCTGTAATACCAGGCGAGGTCAGAATCCTTGAATGCGCATGGAGGTAGGAAGTAAGAAGGAGTCGCCCTAAACAAGTTTCTCCGTACCCTGCTCTGAAGCACCGGCGATCCCTACGTGGTGACCAAAACATTGGGTCATTTACCATTGAGTTCTATGGGATTTGACGCGTTCGGGTGTAAATATTTTGTAATTACGTCGCAAATATACATATAAATGTATATATTTTCTTTTTCTATAACACTTCAGAGTCCTAAGTATGTGAAAACAACATATTTTTAAACAACATTTCATTCTGAACGGAATTAAATGCTATACTTTTCACAGGACATTTTCTCAGAATGGTTTAATTTGAATGAAATATTTTCACAAGTTTTCGTTAATTACATTAGAAAAAAAAATTAACGTAATTCGATTTTATTCGGTTAAGGTACAAAAATTAAGATCAAAGTTTATTGTATTATTAATATTAAAATTATGCATTATTTCTTTTCTATTTATAGAGCTTCTTCCTAAAATACTTTCTTAAATATGACATGATTTTTTTGGCTTCTTTTAAATCGAAAAATGTAAGTCAATTTATAATTAATGCTCTATTTGGTTCATTTTAAATTAGAGAATTATTAGGAATTAAATAGTATTTGACTTTCTCTGAACATTTCTGAAAGGGAATAAAATAATTTTTTTTTTTTTTTTTTTTTTTTTTTTAAGTATTATTTAAAACTTGTAACTGAGTTATTATAAAATGTAAAGGGAAATATTCTTTTTAATTATACTTATCAGATTTTTTTTTTTTTTTTTACCCTTCATTTCAACAATACATATTCCAAAACTCTTTATTACGTTCTTAAGTGCGCATCTCATAGCATTTGCTTTACAATACCTTTTAACATATTGCTTTCCAATACGAACAATTCTTGCTTAAATAGTCTTATAACGTATTTGTCAACAGGATTTCAATTTATGTTTACAATTCAATATTAAGGTTATTATATATTTAGATAACATTTATAATCATCATAAATTAGATACATTTAATAATTAGATTTCTTCACAGTACTTTCACAGTTGTTTATAAGTGAATAAATTCTTCATTTCAAATACATTTATAAATAATTTAATGAATATTTAAGTATTTTTGTCAAAGGCAGATACATGCTTTTTGCAAGCACATGCATAAATACCCATACATATTTCCTATTTATCATTTCCGGCATGTGCAAATCTTTAATTTCTGTGCATTCACTATATTTTTCGTGTAAAGTAATTTACACTAATTTAGCATACACCCGAAAGTTTTACATAAAAATATATCTATAATAATAAAAGGCAAGTGTAAGTCTGTCTGTCTGTCTGACCGAGCTCTCCAGCCAAATCTATGGCACGCAGGGACCTGGAATTTTTTATACCGTATATATATTATACGGAAGCACAAAGGGGCTGGCCACCAGACCTCGAAGCCCGATTTTCGATTTTTGAATTAGAAAAATTTAAAAAAATTATTTATAATTAATTAATCACGGTTTTTTTTTGACTCACTGATATTATTATTTGTTTTCAAATAACGTTCGATTGTAACAATTGATTTCTTTTATTCTAGCGTTAGTTTGCTGTTTTGACGATACATTAAATCGATTAATTACAATTCATTTCTTTTTGTAGCTTTAGTTTGCTGTTTTCATGACACATTAATTTCTTTTTTTTTTTTCAGAATTGCACTTTATAAACTTTTTGTTTCTTAATTAATATTATCATGGTTTTTTGACTCACTGATCGTGTTGCTATTATTTATTTTCAAATAACGTTCGATTATAACAATTGATTTCTTTATTGTAGCGTTTTCTTCAGTTTTTGTAATCATTCTTCTGTTGGTTGCTTAACTTTTGCTTTTCAGATTTTAGAAGAAATATGCCGCAGCCACCTCGAAAAAAGAAATGTTTGGAAAATAAAAATCGACAAGAGAGCGATACTCTCGCCAGTTCTTGAAAGAGACGCAGACGGGACAAGACGGATATCCACTGTATCGTCGTAGAAGCCCTGCAGATGGAGGTTTTACAGCAAGCATCAATCTACGAGGATCAGAAGTTTCGGTGGACAATGCCTGGATTGTTCCTTACTGTCCACTACTATCCAAAATTTTTAACGCACATATCAACGTTGAGTACTGCAATTCTGTCAAGTCCATAAAGTATGTATGCAAGTATGTCAATAAAGGATCCGACATGGCTGTATTTGATGTCACCAGTGGAGCCAATGAACTGAATGAAATTCATCAATATGAGATGGGAAGATACATTAGCAGCAATGAAGCAGTGTGGAGAATACTCAACTTTCCAATCCACGAACGTCATCCCACAGTCGTTCATCTAAGCGTCCACCTTGAAAATGGCCAGAGAGTGTACTTCACTGAAGAAAATGCTGCTGAACGGGTCCAGGCACCCCAGGAAACAACGCTCACATCTTTCTTCAAGCTGTGCACCCAAGATAACTTTGCTCGCAATTTACTTTACAACCAAATTCCAAAGTACTACACATGGAACAGCAGGAACAAGAGTTGGAACCGCCGTAAACAAGGACAAATTGTTCCAGAAGAAACAGGAATCCGGTCTACTGATGCTCTTGGCCGTGTCTACACCGTCCATCCCAACAACTCCGAATGCTTCCACCTTCGCCTATTACTACATGAAGTTAGAGGCCCAACATCATTCACGGATTTGAGAACCGTTCAAGGAAGAGTCTGCAACACTTTCAAAGAGGCCTGCCAACTTCAAGGACTTCTGGAGAATGACGAACACTGGAACACGGCGTTAGAAGAAGCAGCTGCATCTCGATCACCCAAGATGATGCGTAATCTGTTTGCTGTAATGCTTCAAACGTGCTCCATGTCGGGCCCTGAACAGTTATGGATGAACCACAGGGAGAACCTGTCTGAAGACATACTGCATCAAGCCAGGATCCAGCAGCAGAATATGGACCTGGACTACAATGACGACATCTTTAACAGAGCCCTAATCTACATTGAGAACAAGATAATATCTCTAGGAAGATTGAACCTGAAAAGCTTTGGACTTCCCCAACCTAACAGAAACAGCGATTCTGCCATTTCCAGTGAAGTAATTAGAGAACGAAGTTATAACATGGATGTGCTCGCAGCTTATATACAGGAGAATGAGCCTAAATTGGTCCAAGATCAAAAAGAAGCCTTTGACAAGATTACTAGAGCAGTTTTTGATAGGCAAAGGGGTATATTCTTTTTGGATGCTCCAGGCGGAACCGGGAAGAGACGTTTCTTATCAACCTTATTTTGGCAAAGGTGCGGCACAGAAATGAGATTGCTCTGGCTGTCGCTTCATCCGGCATTGCTGCTACACTCTTGACAGGTGGTAGGACTGCTCACTCGGCGTTCAAGTTACCCTTAAATCTGACAAGCACAGAGACTCCAACGTGTAACATCCCAAGGAATTCAGGAAAGGCAAAAGGTTCTACAGGATTGCAAGCTCATCGTTTGGGACGAGTGTACCATGTCCCACAAAGCCGCATTCGAAGCATTAGATGTCACCATGAAAGACCTCAGACGGAACAATGACAGAATGGGAGGCGTCGTAATGGTTTTGGCAGGCGATTTTCGACAGACGCTACCAGTTATTCCGCGTGGAACGAGGGCAGATGAAATGCAGGCCTGCATAAAATCTTCTTACATCTGGAATGGCATTCAAACACTTGGATTATCGACTAACATGCGAGTTCATCTCAACGGTGATCCCTCTGCCCAGCAGTTTGCAGATAATCTACTGAAACTAGGAAATGGAGCCCTTACTTCAGAAAATGAAGATGGATATGTAGCGATGCAAGGCATTGGAAGGATTGTGACTACTGAAGAAGAACTGAAAGAGGCTGTGTTTCCGAATGTGATTCACACCACTTCACTGATCACGCATGGCTGTGCGAAAGAGCAATTCTTGCCCCAACAAACGAAGCCGTCAGTGTTATCAACAAGGAACTTTTACAGAACTTACCCGGAACTCTTCATATTTACAAATCTATAGACACGACATGCAATATTGACGAGGCTGTCAACTATACGACAGAGTTTCTCAACAAATTAGAGCCACCTGGAGTACCCTCCCACATATTGGACTTGAAGGTTGGAGCACCGATAATTCTCCTCAGGAATCTGGATCCGCCTGCACTTTGCAATGGAACAAGACTTTCTATCAAGAAACTGATGCCAAATATTATAGAAGCCACCATCATGACCGGACATGCTGCAGGCGAAGATGTGTTTATTTCAAGAATTATAATCCCTTCCGATCTCCAGTTTCAGTTTAAGCGTCTACAATTCCCTGTTCGTTTGAGTTTCGCGATGAGCATTAATAAGGCACAAGGACAATCTCTCAAAGTTGTAGGGCTCGACCTCCGTAAGCCGTGTTTCTCCCATGGTCAACTGTACGTGGGGTTGTTCAAGAGTTGGTAATGCCGATAATTTACACATCTTAGCTCCGAATGGAAGAACATTAAATATAGTTTATCCCGAGGCTCTCTAACGAAAAGGACAATCTAACGAAAAATTATTGCCACTCTCCACTCTCCCAAACTAACTCTGACTATCATGCTTTAAATAGTGATGTTATTGTTTAGTGCTCTCTTGAGAGCATGAGCAATAATCCGAATGGTGCTGCCGTACCAACAGACATTAATCGGTCAGGGGCCCTTGCGACCCCAGCCGAGCTCCACAAACATACACAAACACTCTCCTCTTCTAATTCATTGTCATCTAAATTTAACTTACACTTAAATTAAAAATTTAATTGGTTCTTAACTCCAAATTTCCTGTAAGCAGGATGTTTTATTTCATCCATGTTTTCGTTACTTTTTATTTTTTTCTGTACTGTACTCTCTCTATCTTTCCCTTTCAACTCTTTCCTATCTTTGATTTTGAATTTTTTATGTTTACTTTTCTTTATACTTCAGACCAATGATTATAACCACATGACTACGGTTTCCTAGCATGTGCTAATATGAGGTCTGTTCTCATTTAAACTAATTTTTTAACAGATGGCTCATGGTTAGGATATATTGTTCCTTTTTATCGACGGGGAATGTTGTGGTGGGGGGGGGAAGAGAGAGAGACAGTCTACATGTCCTACACTACTATTCCTGCGCTATTCACTTATCTGCATTTTCTAAATGCACGGGCAACGCCGGGCGGGTACAGCTAGTATGAATATAATTTGAATGAAAATTATAAGTATTATTTTTAATACCCACTCAAAGGTCAGTTTTTCTTCAAAATTCCCCCACGATGGCATCTCTCTCTTTAGGCAGATAGCCCTTGCATGCGTTACTCTATTTAATAAAAACTTAATCTGACCTATGTGCCTAATTACAAATATTTTAACATACATAATTTTATATTTACATTTAGCCATCCAGTTTCAAACTTTTCAAATCTTCTAGAAAATAAATTTTGGCAGATCTCTTTTAGCAATTTTCTTAAAATCTATCTTTTTGTAGTGCAACAGCTTAGAATTTTATAAAACAAATTCATAATCAAAATCGCTGTTGTTAGTTATCGAAAAATAACCAAGCTGTGATTTTTGCGTAAATGTCAGTAAAAACTATACAAATTGCTATTATCCATAACACTATGAATGTTTCTTTCATGCGAGAGTGTCCCTTTTTCGATTTCTATGGAACTGTCGTGTGTCGAAATACTATCAGAATCTTGTCAAGCGAGCTTCTGAATGTAAACAAAGAACACCCCGTCTGGTGACCCAAGTTTCAAAGCAGTGCTTCACTTCTAGCGCGGAATGGCCCCTCCTCCCTTTCTTACCTCCATGTGAATGCGGCGGGGGGTCTTCTCGAAACCCTGCCAGTAGGTTCTTTTCTTCTCTTTTCCCCATTCTTTTTTTATTTTAACTCAGGGTAATAAAAATTTCCCGCTCTGCCGGGGAAGTTGTCGCTTCCTCTGAATGAGGTTGCAAGAATTGTAACTTTTGACATTTTTCATCTTTTGAGAAATTTTCTGAGCTTTGCGCAAAGAAAAATTCTGATATTTTGTAATTTTCGATCCATTGTCTAAAAAAGCCGCCATACCGAAAATGTAAATCCTATGTTCAAATTTAATCATATTAAAAATGATATTTTCTTAAATCACTGAACAATAATTTGCAATAAAATATCAATCATTCGTAAAATGGCATATTTTTAGATTTTTACCTCATTCGTTTTAGAGTTTTGGATGTCCATTTGTGGGTGTATTCATCCATTAAAAGACGAGTGTGCACTCAAAGCATTACAATTTAAAAAGGTAGATGAATAAATTAATTATACATATTAACTGTGACATTTGATTATAATAATAAAATGATTTTTCTGTCCGTGGTATGTATGCCTGTTAGCTTTAACATGTATGTCTGTACTTTTCCTTTATGTGCCAAATAAATTAGCCGCATATTGATAATAACTTCAAAACTTTTCTCTGTCTTCTGCGGGCAATTCTTCGATATTTGAAAATCTGCCCCAAAATCTCTATACTCAAGCCATTAAAACTACTTTTCTAACATTCCCTATAATTTGGTGAACATACTTCATAAATCATAATTATGGGTGTATATATTTTAGTGTTACTTTTTTTTATCAAATGACTGCTGTTAAAAAATTGTTATGCTTTATTCAAAATCACAGAATAGAATAAATGCATGCCAATAATAAATGCTATTTATTAAGCTTCGAGAATCCTTGATTCAATAAGTAGCATCGTATTGAACATGAACAGAAGAGAAACACGCCGAAGCGAAACATAAAATTAGCAAAGCAACAACCTTCTGTTTGGCTTAGATTTGGTCAAGAACTCGGTCGATTTTGAGAGCAAACAGGTACACGTCCCACTGCACTGACAAATTTCTTTGCTTTTGATGAAGAGAGACCTGTATCTGTTTCTCATCGAAATGGGTTTAGTTCTTGACTGAATCTAGGCTAAACACAAGGCTGTTGCTTCGCTAATTTTTTGTCAAATGTAATTAATTATGGTTTTACCATATAATTGTGTTAAAATATTTAAAAAAATTATATTCTCATAAATTCAATTTATAGGTATTGGGTGTGCTAGGATCATGCTTTTACAACACATTCATATTTCGAAATTCATATTTCAAGAGCGAACTGGCATAAGTCCTTCTTCTTCAGGCACGAAACATATTTACTACAATCTGCCTGCTCAAGATTGCTCTAGAAATCGATAGAGTATTATATCCTCCCGTATTTTCCCCACTACCATTTTAGCTGCAGGCTTCGTAAATTAAAAAAATATTACTGTAATTTTCCCCTCCCTCAATGTGTTCAGATGACCGACTCCTCTAAATTTTAAATTGGATTCGTTCACGTCATGATTGCTTTTGTCATACTGATAAAAACCAATAACTGCAAACTACCTGTGAAAGTAACACCGAACCTTTCCTTTCTAACTGTTGAAATTTATGCCTAATACAAGAACCGACGAATAACAGCGAAGTAAACCCCGAACTGACATTCACTCGATGATTTGTCTAAGCTAGCTACACATTAATCTTCTCTAATTATTTATGAATGTGTTAGAGCATAGGAGTAGCAGAGACAACTAAAGTTGTGTAGCAAATTTAATGTAATTAAATTAATCACAGAAATCAAAATTTTATTGTGTCAATATTCAAAATTTTAGCTATACAACAGGTTTGGATTTATTAATTTATTTGGTTATTATTAGTTTATTGCAATCAATTTGGGATTATTTGGTTTTACGCGAAATGCTTAGCTAGCGTCGTTTGGTGTCCACTTCGTTTTCAAACTTGTACACTCAGACAATGGATATAGGTGAATTTTCACGTAATAAACTCAGTTTTTCATGTCAAGAATTAAGTTAAACTCTTAGAATTTAATATCAATAGTTGCAGAAAAATTAGCTCTTTAATTTGAGATAACTTTTATTTTTCTAACTTCAATTACAATTTAGTTATGAGCTTTTAATTAATGGATTTTTGCAGTTGTCATTGTGATTTCTATTCTGGGGGAGGAAATCTCCCTTTTCCGGTAAAATGCTCATTTTTAGGGTTCTTCAGTGCACTTTCACTGGAGCTTGGTCCAGGGTTGTTGAGATTCCCACATTCTCCCCTCTTCTAGTTGTGGCTGGTTGGCGAGTTGGAAAATCCGTTGTAGTTTCAAACCGGTTGGTTTTGGCGAGGATGTTTGCATGACGGAAAGCTGGGTGTTGCAACTGGTTTTCCCCTTTGCGGGGCGTGAGTGATGCCAAGTTGGTGTTCCCACGAGTAACATTTAACGGGTGGTTTCGAGGGAAAAGGTCACTTTTTGACCGCAAGTTAAGCTTATCGGTACTTTTCCGTTTTGCCGGCGCAAACGATAAAGTCGCCAATAATGGTACAACTGATGCCAAACGAAATATCTTAGCTGGTAACCTTTTACGCCTCATTTTCAAAACAAGTTGCAGCCATTTCTTATCGGATTGATTGTTTCTTTCAATACTGGCATACAATTACATAGAATATTTACAAAGCTAATAAAATTTTATGCCCTAAGACTATTCGCGGTAATTAAGTCAATTAGGATGCAATCACACCGCCACTCGAAAGCAAAAATGTAGAAAAGTCAAAAATCAAGGGTTAAATTCATAAATTCTAATGAGAATGCACTAGCGAAGTAAAGCACTGTAATTTTACATAATTTCTGAGTAAGCTATTCGTAAGAATTAAATAATTCTTGCATTTAAACCTATATTCCAAATTAAGATTTAACTTGAATTAATGTAGATAATTACTGAGAGAATTATATTTTTGTAGCGTAGTTTATGTGAGATGAGATCACATGGCTCATGTGATACGAACCGTCGAATCAGGATGTTGAACCATGATAGCATAGTAAATTCTTAAATTAATGTCTTTTTACAAATTTATTGTCTTTATTTATTGCCTTTTTACGAAATTTTAAACCATATTATAATGTTTATGCCTTCAAAATAAAAATTTCTTAGAACTAACATTTGTTAACAATTTTA